GAGTGTTCCCACCTCCCGCCCCCCTCCCCAGGCCCCGACCTAGATCAGGGAGAACGGGAGGGCTGCTGGGTGAGGGCAGGCCTAAGAGGGAAGGGGCCCAGAGCCCCCAGCATTTCCTGCAGCCGACTGTGGAAGAGACTCCTGGAGACCACACTCAAGGCGAAGAGAAAGCTGAAGTCAAATTTATTGTCTTAGGTCCTCTGCCTACATCCTTAGACTCTGGAACTGTCTCCAAGGACTGCCTGTTAAGTCCTCCAGGGTCTCTCACAAGGTGTTTTCCTTTGTGTACTCAAAAAAGACAGGTCCCAGCTGACCCTCACTTGGGGGCAAGAGGAGCCCTGACCACTGTTTGTCCATTCCCTGCTTCCTGAGGAGGGCCCTAACTCCCTCCTCCACCCAGAATGGAGGAGTGTCCAATGCTGTGTAGAGTCCAGCCCACAGGCTGTATGTTTGCAGGCCTCTCTTCCAGGTCAGAAGTCACAGGATAACCTTGATCCCTTTTGCTGCTGTAGATCTTTCCTCTGAACCTCTCGCCTGGAGGCTCCTCTGCTCCACCGCCTTGCCTCAGTCCTGTTCAGAGGTCCCCAGCCATTTATGGTGAGGACCTACCTTGCTGCTGGGGGTGGGGAGAGAGCATAGGGGCCTAGGTTTCCAGTCCTTGGTGAGATGGGGTCTTGGGATGATCTAACTGTCTCCCGTCCTTCTGGCCAGAGATGTTGCAATCTGGTGGGAGAAAGGCCAAGGCTGGAGATAGCATTCCCAAGGGAGTCAGGCTGCCATGTGGCTCATTTTCTGGGAGGCTTCTGGGATCTGCTGGTTCTCCGGCTTCCCAGGGGGTGTTTGGAAAGGCTCTTAAGAAGACAGGAGTCCAGAGGAGATGTTGAGGTCAAGGGGTACCCTGTGAAGGTGGGGGAGCATATCCAGGAAAGCTGGTGGAACACCTAAGACATCTTAAGCCTTGTTCAGGGACGGTTCTAGTCTCCAGGCAAGGAAAGCTGGTGAGCTTCAAGAGGCAGCTTGCCTACCCCTCAGGTTGAGAGCTTCCTGAGGAAGGCTAGCCTACTTGCACTAAGATTGTTCCAAAGTCCCTGTCCAGCCCTCTCCTCTCCTGGACCCTCCCTGATAGTCACTCTCATAGGCTCCCATGGTACCCTGGGTCTGCCCCCATCATAGAATTTCAGGCACTGCGTTCAGGCCTCTCTGCTTGTCCAGCCCTTCCCCTCCACTAAAGGCACCCTGAAGGCAGGAGCTTTCAGTGTTGTATCTCCAGGGCCTTGTACACATAGTTGGGCTTGACAAATGCACACTGTGCATGTATTAAGTGAGACAAAAATAAAGTCACTCTTTGTTTTCTGTCCTCTATAAGGTGTGGGGGGCTGGCATTGGAGAGTTGGCCACAATGAGCCATGTCTGGATTCAACTTTCCTAGGTCACTTTTGAGGGGAAAGGGGCAGGGTCTCCAGGACGAGGGTGCATGTCTCACTCCGCACACAGCTGTCTTTGATCCTGTCTCTACATCACCTCTCTGTTATTTTCTTGGACACGCTTGTCTCCAGAGAACCCTCGGGAAGTCAGTAGGCTGGGAGAGGAGAAGGTGGAGCAGGAAATCCAGAGGACAGATGGGGTGGGCTGAGGGAAGCTGGGAAAGGCTGCGGGGGCCGCTTGGGGGCCTCAGGCAGAGATGGGGATCTTCTGAGGTCTGGGGAGCCCATCAGTCCCAGGGGCACCCCCTTCCTTGAAGTTGAGGCCCCTGCTGATCAGCCAGAGCTGGGAGCACCTGTGCAGAAGCAGGGGGCCTAGTGAGAGGATCAGTGCAAGCCAGGAGAGGCCCAGGAGGATCCAGATGGCTGCCAGGCTCCGGTATATCGCGATGTAGTGCTTGCTGGGGTCCGTGCCTGGCAGTGAAGGGAGATGAGATAAATGCCAAGGGTCTGAGGGCACAGCTACGCCAGGCTCCATATGGGTCCCCATTAGCCAGGATGGACTCTCCGCCCTCCCCACAGGTCCTGGTGAACAATGGGGGAAGTGACCATGGGTCCCAGACCAGAGACTTCTGAGGACGTTGCTGAGAATCTACAGCAGTCTCAGAAGTGAACTGTCTCTTCTGAATAACTAGGTCTGGTGATCTACTTCTGAAAAACCAGCCATTGTAAATCCTATGGAGCACAGTTCTACTCTGACACACATGGGATTGCCATGGGTTGGAGTTGACTTGACAGCAACTGGCTTATCTGATCCTCAACAGTTATCCCCAGCTGACGTCACATCTCCCCATCTACCAAATCCTAGTGGGGCCCTCACCCCGAGATTATGACTGTCCCATTCTCACCGACAACATAGTCCCCGAAGCCGATGGTGCTGAGAGTGATGAAGGCAAAGTAGAAGCCCTCGCCAAAGCTCCAGCCCTCCACATGGCTGAAGATCATGGGTGGGAAGATGAGAATGACCAGCGTCCCAAGGGTCAGGAACAGAGCCAGGCCCAGGAGCTGCAGGATCTGGGAGGGAAGTAGTACTTTCTGAGCTCACATGGAAGGTTCCAGAATTAGGTCGGGGGGCAGACCTTTGGGATGGGAAGTTGTATCTATGTTTGCATGATCTTATTCTGGCCAGGCAAAGATTTGGGCAGAGGGATTATGTTATGAAGATCATGCTTGTACAGGCTCCCTGGGAATCAGTGTGGGATGGAGGACTGTCACTGAACTGCCCCAGACTCCTCTGCACCTTGCCCCTCCTAGCACATCTCTGACCTTGCAAAGGATTGGCCAAGGGAGGATGCACTGGGGGTGTCCTGGGTGGCCCGGAGCTTGTTTTTGACCACAGGAAAGGATGTCTGCTCCTTAAGAGCTTCAGCTGCAGAGAACCAACTCACCCAAGGGCATGCCCTTCCTGGGAAGGCCTACAGCAGGTACCTGACTGAGGCAGAGTATAAAGGCTTGACTATTTCAGCCCACTGTGGGACAATTCTGATAGTGTATACATGCTGCAGAGCTCCTTGTAGGATTGGCCAAGTCTTTGTCCGGCCAGCATAGCAGTTCAGCTTCTTCCTTTGCCCAATCCCACGCCCGCCCCTGCTCTTCCATAGGTGCTTATTCCTAATAATCTGTCCCAGTGTCTGCTTCAGGAGAACTGAACCTGCAGATTCTGTCACAGCAGGGCTGTAGGGCAGGAGGCGCCTTACCTGGGAGCGCCTGGGCTTATTCTCCCACCTCTTGAGGGTGGCCAGGTGTGCGCGTAGCCCTGTGCCCAGGTGGTTGAGGAAGACCACGTTGAGTGGGATGCCCACCAGGGCGTAGAAGACACAGAAGATCTGGCCTGCCTCTGTGCTCGGTGCCAGGTTCCCGTATCCTGTGTACGGGAGGAAGAATGTGCAGATGCAGGAAGAGAGAGTTCAGAGCTATCCCCCAACCCAAACTCTTGCAGAAGCTGGTCTTCCATCACCTCTGGGAAGAGGAGGGGGCACTTCCCTGTTCTCATGGACACTTTTCCCATACTCTGTTAGAATGATCTCTAGTTACAAGAATTCTACTCACCTTTGAAGGCCCATCTCAATAACACTTCCTCCATGAAGTCCTTCCTGACTGTTACCCTCCTCCTCACCACGGGGTGTGATTCCCCATGGTGCTTTGTATCTTTCCTATCTAATTATCTACTTTGCCGTACTTTGTTGTTTTTGGTATGCTTATCTTGTCCTCATTGGATTCGAAGCTCCTTGAGGTCTGAGCCTGGGTCTGATCAAAGTTTCTATCCCCCATTCTACCCCATCACTTTGCCTGGCAGGTCACCTGTGCTCAAGGAAGGTGCAATGACTTGGATTTAATTGAATTGTTTGGGGGAGATCTGGGTTGGTGGGGGTCTGAGAATTTCCTTGGGGCTGAGGGGCATAGCAGACGCTGTCAGTGCCCTGATACCTGGGTTAGCACCTGCAGCTTTAATGGACAGTTCCTGAACACCCAGATGATTTCCCACCCCAAGTCCCTGCATCTCTCTACCTGAGAGATTTTTCTGGCCACAGGAGCGTGCTTGGTCTGTGGGGGCAGGTCCAAAATGCTGGAAATTTAACACACCTAGAATCAGCCCCTAAGGAATGAGGGCAGGAGTTGGTAGATAAATATTCCCGTTATCTTGCCCCTCAGTGGGACTGTTATGAGAATAGGCTCCACTAGCCTCTCAGAGAGACCCCAGCAGAGTGAGTCCGGTTGCCTGAACCAGTAACTTGCTCATTAATGCAAACTTGATTGGCTTTCCTCTCCTCCTCCCTTACCTGTGCTTCCTGTAATCTACTCTCAGATAAACCAACTCTTTGTCTCAGCATCTGCTTTTGGGGAACCCAAGCTAAGACAGGGGCTTTGGGCAAGTCCTTCTCCACCCCAACCCTTTACCTATGGTAGTGACCACCGTGCCTGCGAAGAAGAAACTGCTGCCGAAGTCCCAGTTGCTGGGGTTGGTGGAGTTGCCTTTGGGGTTCACGCCCTTCACCCAGGCTTCCATGATGACCTGTGTGTGGGGAAGGGGGATGGCATGGGGTGGGGAGGAAGAGGGAGCTGACAGTTACCAAGAACCGACTGTTGGCCAAGCCCTGGGTGGGTGCTTTCATATCGTCTCATTTAATAATACTCTTAAATAGTATCATTCTAATTTCACACAAAAGGAGACTAAGGCTCAGAGAGGCTAAGGGACTTGCCCCAGGTCCTTGGACTCCAAGCCCATGTCTGTTCCACCAGCTGGGGCTGACAGAGGCGCGGGCTCTAAGCGTGGGCTGGTGGAGGGGAAGTGGGTCTGAGGAGGTGAGGTGGAGGAAGCTAAAGGAGTGCTCCGGAGCAGAGGCTGCAGATGGTTGTGAGGGTGAGACGCACATGGGTTGTTAGAAAATGGGGAGACTTCAGGTTGGATATTTCCAGAAGGGAACTTGGGGCTTGGGAACTACAGGGAAGCATCTCACTGGCCTGGTGGTGGGCGACAGACAACCTGGGATTCCCTGAGCTTCCAGGTGAGCTGGCAACCTGCTCTTTGCTGCCCTCTAGTGAGCCCTGGCCTGACTGCCAACAGGAGAAATTCCATCAGAAGCCAGGACAACTACCCTGTGTGTGGGGAGGATGGGATGGGGGATTGTATGTGTGGGTTGTGTTGTATGCGTGTGCTACGTGTAAGAGTACTGTATGTTGCATGTGTGTGCATGTTTTGTGTGTGTGTGTGTTCCATCTGTGTTGAGTGTGTGTGTCCCTGGGCCCAGCCCTCTTTGAGAATCGGTAGAGCCCCCACCCTGCCTGCACCTTATTTTAAACCCCCTCCCCTTTAGCTGTGAATTATCCCAGGACAGCAGCACAATCTTGCCACCTGTTGGGGCCCCAAAGACAGATGGGACGCAGTGGGGGAGGGGCAGCCCTTGCCTCTACTTCCTGTGGAAACCATTTCCCCACTGGCTGGGGCCTGCACTTGGCTTGGCCAGGGTAGGGGTGGCCGTGTGAACCAGGCAGAGTGTCCTGACGCAGCCCGTCTGCTTCTCCTCACTTTGGCAGGAGCTGACCTCTTAAGATGTGGACTTTGGCCTCCCTCTCTTTCCCACACCCTCCTAGAGGTGAGGGTCAAACATTTCCCAACATGCCTGTTCTCTGGAGACCCTCACCCTTTGGGAGAAGCACTTGTCCTCGTCCTGGGATACCCTCCAAGGCAAACCTGAGGTCTCTCCCCTCAGATCTTTGATGGGGCGTTGGTGTCAGTGAGGAGACTGAGTGTGTAGGTGGGTGAGTAGGGGTGGCTGGGTGCTGCTTTCTTCAAGAATCCACAGCTGGTGGAAAAGAAGTCATACTTACCTGTTCTGTGAGACCAGGCAAGGCCTCGTTTCCTCATGGAGTCAATGTTTAATAATGTTGATGGCCTTTTTTTTTCCCTTGTGAGTTTAACAGTAATGTGTGTTCTCCCCATAATCTTATCCCAGCATGCTTCTGCTCTTGGCTAGATTTTCTCTGGCAAATAAGGGTTTCTCCAAGGCTGAACACTCTCAGGGAAAGGACGTCCTGGCTTCCCTGGGGTGGCCTCTGCCTGGAAGGGGTGGGGTATGGGGTGTTCATCAGTGGCACCACCACCCTCCGTGCTGCTGTCAAGCCTGCTCCCTCCCTCCCTCCTCAGTTTACAGAGTTAGTCAGATCCAAACCCCTCTGGCTGTAACCCGGGGCTGAAGGAGCTGGAGGTTTCAGTGCCTCCACCACTTCTGTCTTCCTGCTGGGGCCTTCTGAGTCTCGCACACCTTTCTCAGCCTTTATCTGGGTGCTGTGGCCCCAACTCTGACCATCATGCTCAGCCAGAGAGCAAGGAAGTGAAACCTGAGGCCACATGCTTCGTTTCCTGGAAGAAAAGAGTCTGGGCATGTCTCTCACAGCTCCAGAATGTTCTCTCTGACCACCCAGCTCACTTCATCTTCTAGGCCAGCTGTTCTCCATCTTGAGGGGCATCAGCGTCCCTTGGAGGGTTTGTTAACATGAAGCCTTCTAGGCCTCACCCAGAGGTTCTGATTCAGTAGATGAGGGTGGGGCCCTAGAATCTGCATTTCTAACAAGCTTCTAGGTGATGCTGATGCTGTTGGTCTGGGGCCACATTTTAAGAACCACTGCTCTAGACTATATCCTTCCCCCAGCACTTATGCTAAAATTATGTGGGGAAGAGCAAGAGCTCTGGAGCCCAAAGGCCTGGGTTCCAGTTCTGTGTCTCCCACTAACCGTGCCACAGTTCCCGTCTGCAAACTGGAGATAATGATACTAATAGGTAATTATGGGAAGAAAACATGTAAAGTGCTCAGCCCCAGGCTAAAGATCATAATTTGTCTAAACTCATCATGATAATCCCATTTTCCACTGCTTTAGGTACCTTGTAAATGCTCAATAAATGCCAACTATTATTATGATTCAGGCATCGGTGGTTCGGTGGGACACCCAGGTTGGATTCCTGGCCAATGCGCCTCATGCACAGACAACACCTGTCTGTCAGTGGAGGCCAGTTCATTGCTATGATGCTGAACAGGTTTCCTGGAGCATCCAGACTAAAACGAAGAAGGAAACATGGCCTGGAGATCTACTTCCAAAAATCAGCCGATGAAAGTCCTGTGGATCACAATGGTCTGACCCTGTTGTGCATTGGGTCTCCGTGAGTTGGGGGCTGACTTGAGGCAGCTAACAGCAACATCATTATGATTATTCTGTGCTTGACTTGTTCCTTTGCAGCTGCTGTTGTCATTTGCTTACCCCCTTGTCTGGAATGCATTCAGCTTTGCCCACAGCGCTCAAGTTTTACCTTGTTTCTGGTAGAAAGGGTGCTGGGCCAGGAAGGCCCAAGGCCTGGGGACCCAGGGTCTGTGCAGGGAAGCAGAAGGGGCCGGGCAGGGTGTGACCTGCTCTGTCACCAGAGAGAGCCCCCCATGTGTGGTACTGGCAGAACTCCCCGGTCCGTACCCACCAAGCCCAACTCCAGTGGACGGGCCAGGGAAGGTGAGAGTGGTGTATCTGTGTCTCCCACCCACAGCCCTCAGGGCTCAGCACATGAACTAGGGCTGAGGAGAGACAGCAGAAGGAGCAGCAGCTCTGGAGTCAGGGTAAGGGAATGTGGAAGTGAAGGAGAAGGACATTTGGACAGGGTTGATAACACTGACACACAATGCATGTTTATGCAGCAAGTGACAGTTTAGGGAGTGTAGCACAGATAGGATTATGCTCTTCACCTTATAGATGAGGAAATTTGAGTCCAGAGAGGTTAAGTGACTTGCCCAAGGTCACACAGCAGTCCTGGGGCCAGAATCCAGGACTAGGTCCCACCTGGTACTCTGTTTCCACCATGCCTCCAGCAGGGCATCTGCCCCGACGTACCTGTGGGCCACCACGAGAAACCCCATATTGCCTGCTTCCCACACCTCTCCATCCCACACCGACATCACTCCCCTTCACCTGCACAAACTGCTCCAGGGCCCACTGGTCCAGGCAGGTGTAGTTCTCCAGGAAGCGCAGCTTCTCGATCTGAAACCGATCCCTGGACTGAGCCTCCGCCCGCCTCTCCAGCAGCTGGAAGACAGTGGCGCCGAGCAGCAGATAGCAGACGTAGGCCAGGAGTAAGGGCAGCACCCGTCTACCCCAGCAGCTGCAGAGCCCAGCGCCAGGCATGGCGTGGCCAGGACTGGGCTGGGGCCCTGGGGCCAGCTGTGGGAGGAGAGGCAGGCGGCAGGCAGTAGTAAGCACCCGGAGACCCGGCCAGCCTCGGTCCACCCGCCTCGCCCTCCTCGGACAGGTGTCGGGAGGCTGGGAGTCTGTTTGAACAGTGCAGCTCAGCTGGGCTGCACTCAGTGTCACGAGTGCAAACAGGCCTGCCACCCCCCACCATGGCCTTTTTTTTTTTTTCCATGGAGAACAGCAAGTCAGTGGCAGGGACCCTCAAAGAGACCTACCGGGTGCTCCTGAGATCACTGTGGCTCACTCGCTGCCTCCACATTGGATCGGTGTTTCCGGGCCAAATCTGATATGCCTGCCCCCTCTGCCCGGGCCTGAGCAACTCCCTCAGCAACCTCCAGCTTCTCACCTCTGAAAGATTCAAGCCCCCAAGCTTAGGAGCTGGGGAGAAATCTGAATGGGTGTGAATAAACCTGTACTCGGTTGCCTTGGCTACAAAATGGGATTAGCAGAATTGACCTGCCTACTGGGGGAACCCGAGGATGAGTACACTGGGTGACAGATCAGGACAAAGCAAATAGACAAATGACAGTCTCATGCAGGGACAGCCTCAGGGTTGATGCTCCTAATCAATAGGATGCATTTGCTTCATAACTTTTGCTGATAACGTGATTTGCTTGAAATCCTTGCCTTCAGATGATAATATGTGGGTGAGATATAAGTGTCAATAAAAAAAGAAGCTAAAAGTATATTCTGGCCCCTGGGTGTTACCAGTGGCTCTCTCTGTGTGGGTGGAATTGAAAGTGCTTTTCTTTTTTTCTCCTGTTCTTTGTTTCTGTGTGTGTGTGACAGCTTTATTGAGATATAATTCACCTACCGTAAAATTCACCCATTTAAAGCTTTCAATTCATTGGTTTTTAGTATTTTCATAGAGTTGTGCAACCATTACCACAATCGATTTTAGGACATTTTCATCACCTTGAAAAGAAACCCCACACCGTTTAGCTATCACCTCACACTCTCCTCAGCCCCCCTCCCACGCTCAAGCCTTGGCGACCATTAAGCTTCTTTCTATCTCTATGGATTTATCTATTCTGGAAGTTTCATATGTGTGAAATCATGCAATGTGTGCCTTTTGTGGCTGGCTTCTTGCACTCAGCATAATGTTTTCAAGGTTCATGCATGTTGTAGCATGGATCAGTACTTCATTCCTTTTTATGACTGAATAATATTCCGTTGTATGGATATACCACATTTTGTTTATCCATTCATTAGTTGATACACATTTAGGTTGTTTCCACTCTTATCAATAATGCCGTAACAAACATATAGGTACAAGTTTTTGGGTGGATGTATGTTTTCATTTCTCTTGAGTATACGCCTGGGAGTGGAATTGCTGGGCCATATGAAAACTGTTTAACTTTTTGAGGAACCACCAGACTGTTTTCTAAAGTGGCTGCACCATTTCCTATTCCCACCAGCAGTGTATGAGGATTCCGATTTCTCTGCTTGTCTTTTCTGATGTTTCCTGTAATGAGCCATGGCGGCAGACCCTCTTTTTAAATTTCTTATTACCCTCTTCCTCAAGACAAGATCACTTCCCAGCAAGGTGCTGTCTCAAGAAAACCTGGGACCACGTGAGGTGGGATTTGTATGGGATGGTTTCCTCAGATCCTCCCACTCTCTGTTCCCTCTCGGGAGAGAAGGACTCCTAGGAGGGCCGATTGCTGTGCTTTGGGCACCTGGGAGAGGCTCTTGGAGTCCAGAGAGAAGAACCAAGATCCCAGCAACCTCTGTAAGGACCTTAAAGTACAGCAAAGGTTATGTTTGTAGATTGAGATTTCTCTACTTTGGTTTCTTGTCCTGAGGATAAGGATGAAGATATGGATGGGGCGGGGGGTGCTGATCTTCTGATCCCACCCAAAGACCACTAATCTTTTGTCATGGTGGATTTGCCTATTCTGGATATTTCATAAAAGTGAGATCATGCAATATTTGTCCTTTTGTGTCTGACTTCTTTCACTGAACATAATGTTTTTAGGGTTCATCCATGTCACAGCATGTATCAAAACTTCATTTCTCTTTCTGGTTGAATAATATCCATTGAGTACATGTACCACATTTTGTTTATCCGTTCATCTGTTGATGGACACTCAGGCTGTTTCCACCTCTTGGCTATTGTGACTAGTGCTGCAATGAACACTGGTGTACACGTGGGCAGATCTTCCTAGCTGACCTCCCAATATCCTTTCCCGCCTTTCTAACAGATCCCCAGTTTTTTACCTGTCAGCCCCAGGCAATGGAGCACGATTGGTTTAAATCTGTCATGACACTCCTGCTCCACTCTGTCTTGGGCCAGGTCCCCCAGAAGCAGCCTGTGAGAAGGGGATTTGCGTGAGCAGTAGAGTAAGTAACAGCCAGTGAGGTAGTGGGGCAAGCAGGACAGGGCAGGGGAAGAAGTCAAAGAGGATGCCACCATCGCAGCCTCAGCCTGGTTCCTGGGGAGCTCTGGAAGATAAAGCACACCCAGTTAGTCCCACTGGAGGCAGAGGAGTTGGGCTTTCCTGTTCCACACTAGTCCATATTCAGGCATTTCTAGCTCTGTGCACCTACAGGGAAAGCAGCTCCAGTAGCCCGTGGATAGTTCACTGAAGAGCACAGGTGCTGGCCAGGCCATTGGAAATAAAAGCACACCAAAGCCTGTGGAAAGGGGCACAGGAATGGTAAGGGGACGGAGGATTGACAGTGGTCCCTACATCTACTTTCCCTTGCAGTTGGTGGTGGTCGTGTGACCCAGTTCTGGCCAATTACACCTGGGCCAAAGTCAGCCACAGGGTTTTGGGTAGAGCTGTTCGACCATGGTAAAGAGTGCAGTTGCAGCTGGCGCCATCTCTTCCCCTCTTTCTGCCTTGAATGCACAGCATGAGTGGACCTCCACAGCCATCTTGTGTCCATGAGGGAAAGATGAGGGAAAGGTCAAGAGAATCACCAATATGCCCAACCAATTCCTGCACACAGCTATCTCTTAGAATTTTCTTTTTTAATAATAGAAACAGCTTTATTTTTTTAAGTCACTATTTGGTGTTCTGTTACTTCCCAATGATTGCATGAGTTTTTCTTTTTTTTAACTTTAATTGTTTAAGGTTTATTTGAGTTGGAAGGAATACGAACACACTCTGGTTATCTCAACTAACTGAGATAATTTGTTGTAGGAACCTAGGAATAGCCAAGGTTCTGGAACAACCGAACCTGGGGCTTCCCTCCTAACTCTCCACCATTACTGTGGCCTGGCCACTCTCCTCAGCTGTGGCCTCCTCTCCACTTGCCCCAGGTGGCCACTCCCTCCCTCTGCTCAGTCTTCCATTTCTCTGCCTCAGAGGCCACCCTCCTGGCATCTGGTCAGCTTCAGCTCCCATCACCCTGTGCTTCTTTCTCTTTGCATTTCTCAGCTCAAATACTTTATGGAGAGGCTGAGTGTCCAAGTCCATCTTTTCACATTGGCCACTTCACAGATGTCTGGCAGGTTGAGGATGGGCTGTACTTAAGTGAAGGGCCACCCTCGGCTGCTCTGCTACCACCAAGCGGGTAGAGATATCACGTGCACAGGTATCAGTTGGAAAAGGTTATGGTGTGGCAGATACCGTGGCTGATATGTCCAAGACGAGCAGTGATTGTTTCTATAATAAGAAAAGGAGAGAGAGAGAAATTTTACAGAAACTAAAAGCAAGAGGGAGAATTTTACTATCTTCAAGTATACGAATGATTGTGAGGGTAGTAGTGACATAGTGTTTTTCATCTGCTGTAAGGCCAAAAACAAAACAAATAAAACCACCACCACCACCAACAATAAAACAATGAGTTGAGGTGAAGGGAGGGTTGTGTAGATTGTAAGTTAAGAAGAAGATCCCGACACTGTAACAGGTGCTGAAGGAAGGCTGAGGTGCCTCCTCTGCATCATCTCATCTGTTAGGTGACCCTGCCTGGGGGTGGAGTGATGGGAGCATGACTTCTCTGGAATTCTGGTTCTGGGCTCTTCTGAGGCCATCCCGTACAAGCCCCACCTCACACGGTCCCAGAGTTTCCCTAGACAAGACTTTGCTGGGAGGTAGGTTTGTCTTGAGGGAAAAGAGAGAGTCTAAAGTCACAAAACTCCACCTTGCCTGGTTTTCCCTTGTGTTTTGGGGAGATGGGGCAGCAGAGTGCTGGCAGTCATCTCTCCTACACAGTCACTAGTCCCTGACTTGAAGCAAGGGCTGTTGTTATACCTTGAAGGCCATATGATGATCAAATCCCATGTTATGGTCCCGGAGAAGCTCAATCTGTGAAGAGTTCTGGAGGATCTTAGGCAAGACTTAGCAATTTCTTTAGCATCAAGTATCCTTGATGGGTCTGGACACCATTCATAAGCTGTGATTGTTGTTGTAAGGTGGAAAGAAATGAAGGAAAAGAGCATGGACTATGTGCATGGGAGAAAAGAGCGAAAGAAATGGGCGAGGGGGATGCTTGTGACATGGTGGGGTAGAGGGAGGCTACATCAGTTATCAGTGGTGCCTTCCCTCCCTCAGGAAGTGGTACCAGGTTCTCTGCAGGCCAAACACTCCATTCGTTCATGGACTATCTTTGGAGTACTGACAACATGCTGGTGAAGTCAGCTAGAACTATGGTGGCCTCCCACCTTTCCTGGCTGCTCTTTCTCTCCCTTCTGGTGTTCCTTCCTCTCGACTCCCTTTTAGGTGCACCCCTTGTATCACCCTCTTACACCAAGGCTTTCACCAAACCACCTAAAGCCCAGCAAGGCAATCTCTGACTAGGGTTTAGGGTAGAGTCTTCCTTAGGAATGCTTCCAGCTTAATGGGGGACTTCTGAAAACCCCTAGACTATAAACACCAAAGAAAAGTAACATAATGGTAGAACTTGGGGGGTGGTCTACTCAAGAGGTCCTGAAAGCACTCTGCACCGTACAAGGAGCCCCTTTTTCCCTCCCTCCCTTCCTTCCT